GTTTGAAAATAATGGACCTAGGCCATGCACTTATCAATCACCACTGTCCTAGCTGTCTCAGACGCTCCTAATGCAAGAAGCATGTTGCGCACAGTGTTCATATACGGTGCCGTTGTCCCATTCGGAAGTAAGGTGTAGAAAAGTGGACGTCCTACACCATGTACCTCTACCAACATGCAGTGCCACAGTATGTAGCCACCGCAGTTTATCTGGTGTGCCACATCCCCCGGCCTTACTTCGCGGTAAAGCTCTACAGGTCAAGTACGTACCTCGGAACGAAAATAAGAACGGTGTCCCTGATTCCTCAAACTGCACATACTGACCAAAGCGCTCCAGCTACTGAACCACGCTTTCGTTTAGTTCTAGTCCCCTTTCAGCTCATCAGAAGTTGCAACAGAAAGCTCTTCTACGGTATTGCTTGAACGCATACTTTCTGAGCTCACGTGTGTTTTTAAACGACTCCATAATACCATGGATGTCCTATTCCGCTTGCCGCGTGAGCCGTCTGTGCCTCACATCGAGAAATGGCTTTCCCAAATCAAACGTATTTTTGTCCACAACGCTGAAGGATACTGTGTCGTAGCACCAGCCGTTATGATGCATAAGCATATTGACCTTGCAGCCATTACTTTTGTACCTACAGCACATAGGCGCATCATAAATGTTGCATGTCAACTTACCGCTTGCATGTGTACCCTATTTGGCGGCATGAACACATCCATAGCGTACTGATATGTACCGCACACCCTCAGACAACACTACCTGTTCTCTTCCGATACGTCTCAGATGTTAAGACACCCGATTTGAAAAAAAAGTGAAGCAGTTCGCTTTTGGAAGCGTTTTAAGTCACTTTCAAAATACTCAACAGTGCAGTACACACGCGGAAAAAAGACAACATGGAAAGCAGCGATATCTGCGACAGCCGTGACAGCGACTGAATCCGCCAATGCAATTTAGGGTGCATTTAAGCTTTCATCATGCTCGTGTAAAGCCACGTCAGCGTTACAACCTATAGCCTTTTTCTCTTCATTACCAGGTCTTATGTCACAATGTAATCTTCGCACTCCTTCACCAAGGCACAGTAGTGTGCCGTCCGCTACGACAACCTCCCATTCGCCTGCTTAGCACCGACCGCTGTGGAGCGCGGTCTTCAGCAGAACTTTCCGCCGCCTAACAAAGGCAACTAAAAGAAAGTGGTAGTTACTTGAAACCGTTCAGTTTGGTTTCAGGTACGTTGCAACAGATCCGTTCGTTTGAATGGCAGTATGATTATCAGAAACGTCACTGAATCCACTGCCGCTCTGCCCACCGAGCGTATGCTTGCTTCTCTTGGTTGGCATAAAGTTTGCATGACCAGGCTTTTACCACCAGGTTTCTCTGGCGTTACCGTCAGGTATCCCATCAGATTGGGGAACGTTCCGTTTGGTCAGCCAAATCCCCGACCCCCGTCTGCTTAGAGTGGTCCACTCCACCCCAAAAGAGCGCAGGGCATTACTGACATTCGCCTTCAAGCTCAAAGGTGCGAACTTTAGTGTTTAACCAGACCTTCCGTTAGCGGATGAGTTTAAGTTAAAGGAAGCCAACAGAGAGCTAAATGCTCGGCGTGCAACTGGCGAGCAAAGTCTCCAAATGGTGGGTATTCATGTGGTCAGCCAGCCTTCCTTTTCCTCCCTGCCAGAACCTATACTACTTTCGCCCGACCCAGGGCTGGTCGTGCCGAAGCCCACCAAGTAGTACTTAGTAACGTGCGTAGCCCGCTGAACAAGATGTGCGCGGTGGGTCTGCCCGTGGTCAAACCTCGTCCAGATATACCTGCTTTCACTAAAACGTGGCTATCTGAGGAAACCACAGATGGCGAAGTATATCTGCCTGGCTACGCACTGTTCCACTCTGACCCCTCCATTGGCTGTCAAGGGGTGGTGTAGCACTTTATGTGGGTTATAACGTCGGCGTATTGAGGACCAATGTTTTTCAGTCTCTCGACAAACTTGTTGGGGCTATCGCACTCCTGGTTTGCACTTCCTCTGTTCAGGTTACGGTCGTGTAGTGTGTAGAAGCCCTTTGAGCACCTCCAATGGAATCATTGAGTTTATACGCACTCACTCTGCGAATAAGTGTCTGGCGCTGGGAGACTTCGATCTCCCAGAAGTTTGTTGGGATGATCTATCTTACAGTTCGGCTTTGGAATAGTTCCGTACCGAACTGCCGAACTTAATGCTGCAGGTACCACTACACCAGTTCGTGGACCTCCAGTGTAGGTACCTGAGCAGTCAGCAGCCGTCCATTTTAGAGCTTGTTATTCCTGAGACGCTTGACTTTGTAAATGACATTAATTGCGACTCGCCCCATCGTGCTAACGATCACGTTTGCTTGTCTTTCCAGTGAACGTTATCAGACCTTGCCAAACTACTACCAGTTGGCATCCGAACACTTGGACCGCGGATTTCCAAGCGATGCATGCTAAAGCTAGGTAACCGCCTTGTGTGATATCTGATACCGACACTGTGCACATAGCCCGGGAAAAACTTACGGCTCACCTCGTCGACATTTCTGCACCTTACATCCCACAAGTAAAAGGAAGGGAATCGAAAGTGCAGCCTCCGCGGATAGATTACGCGGAGAAGAGCCTGCTAAAGAGGCGATCTAGATGCTGGCGAGCGTACCGAAGAGCACCGCCGCACAGCACGTTTGAAAAGTATCGGTTAGTTCGAAATGCGTGCAAGCTACATTTTAGGTTTGCCCGGCTTCAGTATGAAAAGGGCCTAGCTGATACTGCCTCGAAAAATCCCAAGAAATTATGCACATGCTTTAAACGACGCTGTGGTGCAAATACACCCATAGCACCATTGCTTCGGACAGATGGGACTCTTGCCTATAGCGACTATGACAAGGCATGCGTACTTGGTGAGCAGAACCCAAGCGTCTTTGTCAGCGAAACACCTACGCCATGCAAAGAATTAGCTTCAACAGCCTCTGAGGACTGTTGTCTGGATGAAATTCCTGTAACTGCTTCCCAAGTCCTCCGGTTGCAAAGAGAGGTAAACCCAACTAAAACTTCCGGGCCAGATTCTGTTCATTCAAAATTGTTTCCTGAATTGGCCGTGGAAATCAATGGACCTTTGACTTGTGTGTTTCAAGGTCACTCAACAGCTCTGTCTTGCCTACCGAATGGAAGGAGGCTGTTGTCTGCCAGATTTTCAAATGCGGTGGTAAAGACCTACCGGCTAATTACAAGCCCGTCAACTTGACTAGCGTGGTCGTTAAGTTGCATGAAAAATTAGGACGAGATACAGTGGAGATGCAGTTAAATCTGTTTACCCTGCTTAGCTTCGAGCAACATGGTTTTCGCAACGTATCTTAGTGTCAGACAAACTTGTTGGTAGCTCGTGAGAGCTGGTCTGAAGCCGTGTACAGTAGATATGCGGTGGCTGTGGTGTTCATTAACTTCGCTAAGGCCTTTGACACTGACCCTCATTCGTGACTCTTACTGAAGTTGAGGTCTTATGGAATATCTGGCTGCGCGCTCCAGTGGGTGTCAGCTTTTCTGGAGGGACGGCAACAGTGTATTCGTGTGGGAATCAGTCTTTCGTTTCGACAAGCTGGATTTAGCGGCGTTCCGTAACGCTCTGTCCTAGGTCCGCTGTTTTTCAGTCTACGTGAATGAATTGCCGGAGGAGCTTGAGGTACCATCGCTCTTATTTGCTGATGACCTAAAGCTCTGAAATATTGCTGATATCCCTGGAGGCCCTGTGGCTCTTCAACTGGCTCTGAATAGACTCTGGGAATGGTCTGTCTTGTGGTTGCCGCCCATAAACCGGGCAAAGGGCTCAGGGCTGCGTATCGGAGCGTCTGCTTCTTCCACAAGTTATGTGCTTGATGGGTGTGAACTTCCACACGTGACTCATTAGGTTGATCTAGGTGTCGTCCACTGTTCCACACTACACTGTGGAGACAACGGAAAGCAGGCGGCTAGTAAAGGGTTCCGGATGTTACTGGTCTATCCGTCGTTCTTTCGGGACCCTAACCGCTGACATGTTTGTGAAGCTCCTCTCAGAGTTTGGGCGACCCCACCTGGAATATTGCGTCCAGGCCTGTCGACCATGCCTTGTACGGGACAAAATGGCACTAGGAAGGGCGTCACGTGTCGGTGCTAAGTTGGTCAAGGGATAACGAGTTCAAACGTACCCTGAACGCCTACTTAGTTTGGGAGTGCAATCAACGCAATATCGAAGGATCAGATGGGACCTAATCCTAACCTACCGTATTTTGACTGGGAACGTTGGCCCTGATTTGTCCTGGCACTTTAGTCCTGCTATATTATCTGGTCTCCGAGGGCATTGTATGAAACTGGACAAACCGTGGTCCGATCGAGTTAGAGCGAAGACACGGTTATCGCGTCGAGTCATCGACAGCTAGAACCTGCCTCCCGAAAATTTTGTCAAGGAAGCTACGGTTAAGGGGTTTGAGCGTTAACTAGACGCTCTTGGGTGGCAACACGAAACATTACCTTTTTCCTGACTAATTCCCATCTTCGTACTTCGATGCTAGTTTCTTCACTTTTCCTCGCTATTGGTATTATTCTCTTCTTTTAACTAATTTCTTTTACTCTCTTCGATTTTTCTTCCTCTCTTACTTACCACACATAACTGACATAGCAGGGAGAGCTAATGTAAGGAATGTGGGCATTAAATTGGCGGACCAGGGTGTTTTTTTCGGGCGTTTTCGTTTTAGACCCATCAAGCATTCGGAGCACACCTATCAACTCCTGGATCGACGACCCTCTCAAGAAGGAACACTTACGGGATTCCTCCTATCTTTCTAGTCCCATTTGAATTTGAACGTGAACTTTATTATGTTACGCCTGCGCAGGAAATAACACGTTGTTTTGCAGTGCATAAAAAGTAGGGCTAATTTACGACTAATTTAATTTTTGGTTTTGGGTAAAGGCTGCTGGTTTCAAGGCCGTATATGAACTTGAGTTGTGGGATTATCTTCGTAGTATGTGTCATGTCTCCGCTTCCAAACAGGCGATGCTCCTGAGAGCTCTTGTTTATAAATTGCTTGATGCTGAATCAGGGTGCTCCCCTTCCGAAGGTATGTGTACGGAACCTGTTACGAGCTATGCACCAGATTTGATTAATCACTTTAGTTCCTACTTGAGAGCCACTGACAGGTAGGCTTGCGCTGTTTGTCATTTTCGCGCTAGTAACTACAGCATACTACCTGATCCAACTGTTGAGGCCAAGCTGTATTCTTTACGTAAGGCTAGCTCCTATAATTTCTTTTTGCAGTGCGACATCGTGGTCGCGATTTGGATTGCATTCCGCTGAAGCGTCTCATTCAACGTCTCTTTGGCCAAGTAATTCGATGCTTTGCGCTTTCAGTCTAAGCAGTCTCGGTCGAGAAACCAAACCGCCATATTGAACTTTTTTTATCAGTTGTTTCTGTTACAATCAACCCCAAAGACGATGTACAGTTCCTTCAGCTCAATGCCTGGTTCTGGAACCCGAAACGGTCTTTCATCCAGTGGTTTCCATTCGGACGTGTAGGTAACCCTTTTATTTAGGGTATTGTATTAATGTATGACTTGCCGAACCGACGCCTTACTTCATAACAGCATTAGAATCATAGTATTAAGATGATAAGATTACAATCCGCGTCATCTCCGTAATAAAATGCAAAACAAAACAGACCAATACATGATAATGGTCTGCGTAAGTTGCATTTCTGATCGTCTGATTTCGGCCACAAGAAATAGAGTTTAAAAAGCCATATACGCGGCAAGCTTAATTGTCTCGGTTCTACTTGTTCTCAATGGTCTCATACCCACCTATCTGCTAGGTCAGACAACTTACGGTGCCATTGCATGAAATTGAAGCAGCATAGATCTGGACTAGAGTTAAGCACCAGGTTCTTCGCAAACCGGGTCGTACCTGTTTGGCATAAAATTCCTTCTGCTCTATTAGCATATGAAACTGGAGGAATTTAAACGCAACCTTAGAGAAACATTTCTCCTGTTTCCTGAATTTTCTTGAGCTTCAGTGACCACCCCTCATTTCATTACTTCATGAAAGTGTGTTGCTCGTCTTGCACTTGCTTCTGTTTTTCACCATTATACAGTCAATATCATTCTATCAAGTCGCTCTGCTGATGACTTGTTTATTGACACTCGAAACGGGACGCTCGTTAAGCGGAAGCTTGTTTCGTCCCTGGATCCTGTCCTGTCCTGTATATGACGGTTCATTAAATTTATTTTAATCATCTTGGCTTATAAACGAGCCAGAATATATGTCTGTTCCCATTTTTAGGAGCCTGTGTATACTACCCAGTTTGTTTTTCTTCATACAGCAGGATTTAATGAGTCGACTGTGCATTTCGTGATACTTTTGGCTAGAACTTAGGGTGCACTGGTCAGGACTCTGAATCTTCAACCTGTTCAGTTTATCTCAGCATGGATTTCGTAAAGGTCACTCCCACTTTACGAATCTGTGTATGCTCGGGAATGCCTTGCCGACGCGTTGGATCACGGAAAGACGGTGGATGTGCTTTTCATTGTCTTTTCCAAAGCATTCGATACCATCCCACAATCCCGCATGTTCTGTAAGCTGTGGTCATATTTTATCTCCGGACAAACTAAAGTGGATAATGGTAGAGGGTAGAGGAATGTGCCTACGGATGAGCTCGAGGTTTTCATTTCGACACTTGGTTCTCATTGGTGTTCCGAAGGGTTTATTGTTATTCAGGTTGTACGTTAATATCCCGCTTGAAGAGCTGGAGGTGCCGTCTCTCATGTTTGCTGACGACCTTAAGTGCTGGGACACGGTCAGTGATCCGGATGGCTCCCAGTTTCTGCAGCGCACACTTGATAGCCTCTGAGCTCAGTACACTTTCTGGCAGCCACCCGTAAGCTTTTTGAAGTGCTCATTATGCACCTTGGGAACAGCGGTCCACCAACGCCTTACTCTTTAGGGGGAAACGAAGTGCCAGGCCTGTCCGAATAGGCCGACTTAAGTGGCGCGCAAACTGGATCAAGCCTGCTTACAAGTGGTTCAAAATGCTTTGGACGATCCGCAGGTCATTTGGAATCCTAGCGGGTGAAATACTTGTTGAACTTTACACGGCTTTCATCGGGCTTCACTTAGAATACTGCGCCCAAGACTGCCACCTTGCTTAGTGCGGGACAAGATGGTAGTGGAACGGGTTTTGAGAATTGGTATCAAGATGGTACGTGGGCTAAGACATGTGCCATTTCCCTAGAGGCTGCTTAAGCTGTCTTTTTCCCACAATATCGGTGTCACCCAGTCGATCTGATCATTATCTAATCTTATCGAGTCAGTTTACTCCGGACTTATCTCAGCTTTTCCTTCCGGCTTAATCGCAGACTCAGCGGACATCCAAGGAAGCTGCACAAACCTCGATCCGATCGGGTGGGGACTGAAGTCCAATTATCATGTAGGGTCATTGTCTCCTGAAACGCGCTGCCTGAAGACGCTGTATTGGCGCCTACGGTTAGGGCATTTGTACACCGACTTGACGCCATCGGTTTGCAGCTACAACTCTTCCAATTTGTGTCTTAGCCTACCTCCTGACCTTCATTACAATTTTCCATTTCTATTTCCTTCTTAATTTCCAGTGCTTATTTCACATTTCAAGTTGCTTTTTAAGTTATATTTCTCCTTTCTTTCCCTTTGTTTTATTTTCTTTCACGTGCCTGGCACAGCAGGGACTGTCTTCTACTTCTAACACCATGGTCAACTTACGCACACACACGCACACTACTTTTTATCCCCGGAAAGATGTGCTTTTAATACTTCCAGCGAACTCATCGGCTAGTGATCTTGGCGCGCTAAGCCTACCACGAATATGGATGATAAACTTGTTTTGTTACCTTGATTTTTGACCCCTTTGCTATCAGAGCGTATGATATGCTAGTTTGCATGCTACCGTCGATGGCACTGCTACTATAGTCATTCACCCCAAAGTACAACTCCCAGCTTAGCCTTCGTCACATATAGAGTGCAAATAAGTACGAAACATGAAGTTTTGGGAGCTACCCACATTCAACATTTATCTAAGGCAGTTTAGTGATCGCTTCTCTGACGTTTATCGGTTCGTAGCCAAGGATCACAAATTTGTCTTATACTTCGACGGCGCAGGTTCGAGCCTGCGTACGGGACCGGGCGACCGTGGCAGTATCCGTAGCCCACGCACGATTGTTGGTGGTTGCGTACCGGCGTACTGATGATGAATTCTTTTTCCTTTAACGTTGATAGTTGAAATCTCAACGACTCTTCCAAGTGAGCTCTTGTTTTGGAGATAGTAGTGTACAGATTATTAGCTCGGCTTGCTTTACTTTAAACACAGGTGTCACGAGAATTGCCTGATCGCGGAAGAACCTGACTTTCCGTGAACCAGAAGCAACTGTAACATATACCCAGCTGTATTAGAAAGGTATGTAGCACTTCACACTTTTATGTGTGTTTCTGACCTCAAGTCTCTAAAGCCTTGTCAGAGAACTGAGCTGATGTATCATTGCTACTCAGAAACAAGAAATAGCAACTCGGAGTTGGTTGTTATGTTTATACAAGTTATAACACCAGTAGTCGCATCGCCGAAGCGTCTATCGCGTGCCCCGATCATCATTTTAACAGCCATTTGAACTAATGCTTCGCTGCCTCACAATCATATAAATAAATAAATATAAATAAATTGTATATGGCCCGACGAAGCGAGAAGCCGTTCCCAAGAGGGACGGATCAAATAATGGTACAGCAGTTTCATATCATGGTATAATAAATTTAAAAAAATGTGAGCACAAAATGAAAATTTGTGTAGCGCGAAGCGGTCCAAAATATTTACATTCCTCTTGTTCTATCGTCTGACAAGTTTTTAGCAGTCACATGAGAGTTGATCGCACACGAAAAAAGAGAATAAAGTGCTGCGGGCCAACAAAATATAACCACTTGTGCACTTGACCACATGCATTTTCAGGCACCATTAACTCCGTTCTCAAAAGCGTTATCTAAGGACTGTGCTGTTCGAAACATTATTATCACATTTTGAACGGTTAAATGGTCTTTTATCAAAAGCTTAAACAAACGCAATGTGCAACAAGTTCTGATAGTTCTTGGAAGTTTGTTCCAAAGCTTTGAGTAGTGTATTAGAAAGAAACGTTCCCTAATTCGCGTATTGAACTTTGGAATCATGGCCGTTGTCTCCTTATTTCGTAGCTCGTATCTAGTGTTAACGGACATATGGACACAGTTAGCATAATTGTGCATGTGATGGTGAATTATTCTGTACAGGAAACACAAGTTCATCTTCATTATCCGTAGCCAAAGTGGGTCAAGTCCAAGTTTTTCACTGCGTTCTCTGTAGGTCATCTTGGAGGAATATCCGCACAGCTTCTTTGTAAAGTGTCGCTGTACCCTCTCAAGAGCATGCTGGTCAGATTTCCGCATATTCAGTTGTAGTAGTGGGCAGTATTCCATGCCAGGTAACACATATGTTTTGTAAAGTCAGATACGAGATTCTGTGAGTTGAAATTTATGACAGATATGGCCAATAGTCTTCATGGCTTTCGAAACTTGGAAGTCACAATGTTCCGAAAAGTTGAAGGTAGTGGAATACCGCACAACCAAGTCGCGAATCACTTTGCACTGTGATATAAACGTGCCTTGTAATAATAGACTGCCTGGTGGAACTTCGCATTTGTACGACAGAATATTACACTTGTCCACGGAAAAGGACATCTGCCATAGTTTGCACCAGGATTCAAGTGCCGATAGGTCATCCTGAATGTAACACAAGGCTGCGCGTTCTGCACGTTCTTGTGAGTAGACGATTTTGATGTCATCATCAAACAGAAAAGTAGCACCATGTCTTATTCTATGAAATACATCGTTGACCTAGAGGAGAAAAAGAAGTGGACCAAGTACACTTCCCTGAATTACTCCACTGGTGACTGCTTTCGGTTTAGAGACACGGTCCCCAATACGCACCACCTGATGTCTGTCAGCTAGGTATGATGACAACCAAGAAAACATTGGTTCTCCCATACCTATTTCCTTCAGTTTGAGGAGTAGTTTTCGATGCGGCACTCTGTCAAATGCTTTTTGCATGTCTAAGAACAGGACAATAACACTTGCCTTTGTCTATGGCAGCCGTTGTGTGGTTTAAGAAATCTGTCTGGCATGTCGCCCAAGATCTGCCCTGCAAAAAACCGTGTTGTGAATTGTTGATGACGTTTTTCTTATTCAAGAAAATAAGTAATTCATCTTTCACTATCCTTTCCATAATTCTAGATATTACAGGTGTGTGATTGATGGAGCGATAGTTTTTAATTTCGTGAACGTTTCCATTCTTATGCCGCGGGATAACAACGGAAGTCTTCCAGTGATTAGGATATACTGCACTGTTAAAAGAGAGCGTAAAAATGTTGAGCAATAGAAGAGGCAAGTCGCTCCCACCGCTTTTTAACAAACAAGGGGGGAATTCCATCAGATCCTGGGTAAGTCGAGGAAGACAAGCGGGAGACTTGACCGGAGAT